CACCCAGCCAACAATCCGTTCTTTCTCCCTTTCCGCGGAAGCTCGCGTTCGTTTTCGTACCCATCCCCGACAACGATAACAACAGCTGACCACCACGCAACTTCCCCCTGCTGCTACCAGAACACCCGCAAAAAACAGCAGTCAGTGCCAGCGATGCGATGGTGGTAGTAGTGCTACCGGCAGACCGGCAGACAACCATGCGCCGCGACATGAAGCACCCAACACGTACGTGCGTGCATCAGGCCGTTCCCACTACAATAACCTACTATTCTTCTATTGTTGTACTGCTACTTCTACTCCCTCCGTGTGTTATCCTATGTAACAATCCTCAAACTGTTCGTGTTTTTTCTCATAGACTACTAGAATCCGTGTCTTACCTACATCGAGAGATCGTTCGAATGCTACCGCAGACAAACAACCTACACGATGGGCTACACGATGTGGGTGGACTGTGGTCTGCTCGCCATCGATAACTTGCCCCCCACGTTCAGCCAAACACACGCAGCGGCTGTAACTGGCCCGACCTTACAGTACAGTAGTTCTTCATCCATCAAAAAAAAAAACGGTGTGTAGTTGTTATTGACCCGTTTCATCATGCATGATTCGTTTCCAGTTATTTTTTGCGAACGGGCGCCAGCTAGGCTACACACCTACAATGAACTGATACGCCTGACAGTCGGCCCCTTTTTTGTTGTAGGCCCCTTGTACGTGCAAAACCGTCTTGATCTCTAACCTTCCTACTTCGCCTTTCGCGTGTCTTCTCTTCGAAGGACGCACAAACACGAAGAATAAACTTTTCAACACATGAATAATAAACCCTTTTCAAAGCCCAATCGTTTCTAATAATCACAGCAACCATCACACGTCTTTCCTCCCATGCGCCGCCCACGATAAAACTGGCGCCCATTGGACTTGCTGTTCCTGTACCGACAAAAAAGCAGACCACCTTTCCTTCCTTGATAACCATTGCATGCGTGTTTAAAATACCCTTATGTTTGATGATGCACTTTAAAAAAATATATATCCAGTCAATACAACACCAGCAGCTGCAGCAGCAGCAGCAGCAGCAGCCGAGACCCGAGACCCAGAGCTCCTAGCACCCCACAGCACTACCAACACGGAGAAGATGAAGTAGAAATAGACTATCGTCCTTCCCTGGCTTGCTCGCAAATTGCAAGACACGCGGAACGGACGGCTCGAACGGCGTACGTACGTACTACTACACTACATTGACCTGCAAGGCAACAAAACACACACAAACAAGTAGAGCGTCCTGCTTTCTTCGCTGTTTTTGGCACACTCTGCCATGGTACTATTGTAACAACACCCATCCATCCATCCAAACACTTTTCTACTTATTCTCGCTGTACGGTGGGGCAAAAACGAACCCTCGAGAGCTTGAACACGGCATGACGACGCTCTCTCGACTCAAAAAGTTTAGTTTGTACACTATTCTTGTATTACTCCCGAAAAAACACGCCTGCCTCGAGTAACCTGCTAAACATGAAAAGTCTTTGGCTTTCCCCTCGCCACCCCCACGCCCCTGTATTTTCGCTTGCTATTACTACGACATCAACCTCACCCCAGCACTACAACCCAGAATTATAACCGAAAAATACCATTACCGTACCGTGAAACCATTACACTATCATCGTACCGTGTGCAATACAAGGGTAGGTGGCACGTGCGTCCTTGCATACGCCCTCCCCCCCGCGCTCCCATGAAACTCATTGTTAGCACACGCACACACACCACCTTCCTCCTCGTGTTGTCCATTGACGACTGACTGCCCCCACGCTGTTTCTGCCCACGTCAATATCACCCGATCGAGTATGTATACCGTGTGTTGTAGCTCCTCCAATACGGCAGCATGAAGGAATCCCGACAAAGCGAGCGCTAGGGAGGCGACCGACAGCGCTCTGGCAGGCGAACGAACAAAATGCAAGACGGGCGGGCGCCGGTGATGATGTCATAATCTTCAGCGCGGTCGGTTGCAGTCCGACGTGCCCCCCTCCCCCGCCCCTCCCCCGACTCTGTCATGCGCTTTCTTCATGAGTACAGCCCGCCCACACACAACACACAGAAAACAAAAACAACCACGGAGCAATCGGCGCAAAACAAGGCGCACACAGTCTTCTCCAGACACAGGCACGAGAAAGGCAGCAAAGGCAGCAGTTTTTGCCAACGACGATACATTGACTAGACCAGACCGACCAACAAGAAAACAGTCGAAAAAAGTGCTGAAACCAATCCATCCCCCCCCCCGAGATGCGCCGCAAAACCACCGCCAACCACCACAAAAAATAACACCACCAGCAGGCCGGCAGTTTGTTCCAAACGTCACACCACGCAGAGAAAGGACGGTCCATGAGAGGCGAGCCGGGAGCGTGAACGGCCCTCTCACACGAGAATGAACGACCCTCTCACTCACATGTTATGAACGCCACAAAAAAAAACTGCTTCTAAAAAATGATCCTTTTTTCTTGTTCGCGGAAACACTTCCTTCTTTCTTCCGTGAACGTCAACAAGGTGGACGAAACGCGATCACCGCACAAAGATCGGTCAGTCAGTCAGCACACACAGCAACTCAAGTCTATCGCCTCAACGTGATGGGTGCTAAGTCCTCCCTTCTCCGACAGCAAGCAGCAGGGAGCACACACATACACATAAGAGCACGACACTTATATCTATATTCACCAGATACACGTACGTCCGTCCATCCATCCTTGGGGTGAGAGAGACACAATAGAGATACTTAGACAGATCGAGAGAGAGAGAGAGAGAGAGAGAGCTAGCCCCGTTCCCAAAATCAACTCAAAAGACACTACAATACTAGCAGTGAGTGAGTGATCGATTGATCGCCCCTGCCTGGTGGTGTGGTGTCTCCTGAAGCAGCAGCTACCACCACAGCTCAGCTACACCTCCACCCTCCTCCACCGAGACCAACATACCCAAAGGAACAACGACCCGTCGCCGGGAACCATCCACCCACCCACCCATGTGCAAGACAAAACACCCATACCATCGTTGGATATGTTTCGCCCAAAAAACGTCGCGCGCGGCCCCGTCCCGTGACGTCAGGTTCAAAAAAACATCCAGAAACAACAATGAAGAACCGCGTCAAAACACCATCCATCCATCCACCGGGCCTGTCAACCCATGAAAATGCACTGGCACAAAATCATCTATATGGTACACACATGAGCGGAGACACACGCAGATATAAATGCATATTCGTAGATGGATTGACAGACACAGAGAGAGAGAGAGAGAGAGAGAGAGAGAGCTAGAGGTGTCGCTATATCAATATCAATATATAAACCCGACGTGTGGCAGAAGGTTACAAGATTGAATGGCGGCCTCTGTTCTAAATATGGTGTTGTTGAAAACTACGAAAAACACAGCGACACTGACCACTCCCGCCCCAAATCCAATCACTCGCGGACGATCCATGCTCTACTGTAGTACGACGACGCTTCCCCTTGTTAGGTTGAACACGTACTCAAGTCCGGCGGGTTTGGATGGGAACCAGCCCTTGACAAGCTTGCTACTGGTGGCGGGAGATGGGGCGGCCATGATGACCTACCCCCCCTCCCCCCCCTCAAGCCGCGGTCGCAAGAAACAAACGAAAAACGCCCCCGCCCCCCCCCCTCTCTGCGCTGGCAGGTAGGTAGGCCATCTTCCAGTGTGTCACACGGCTTTCCACACCCACACAAGCCCGGCATTGACACCCACAATAAGTTGATGCGCGCTTTCTGTAGCCTAAATACTACTCCATATTGATGCTGTTGCTGCTCCGTCCGTGCGCGTGTACGTATGCATACCAAGACAAGAGCAAAACACGGGGCCCCTTGCCTGTCGATGTGTGAACATGGTACTGCTGGAAAAACAAGAAATATATGGGTACGGTAACGCTCTCGTGAAAGTACTTAGAACGCCGCGTGCCACTGTGCAACCGGCCCCATCACCCTGTTCCACGATACGAGAGGGACCAAAGACAAACATAAAGACGAGAGAGGGGAGAGAAAACACAGACCAAAGCTAGCTCTAACATCACACCCGCTGAACAACAAGACACTCAGTGTACCCTCTCTTCCACGTCGCCGTACTCCGCCTATCCCACCAAACATCGATCCACCCGCCCCCCTCTCTAGGAAGGTCGCAATCCACCCCAAACATTTACCCACAGGCCTTCCGGCAGCGATCATACTCTCGATCAGAAACAACGATCAGTAAGATGGATACCTGAACCTTGTTCGCTGCTGCTGCTGCTGCCGCTGCTGCTGCTACTGCTATGAACGTGAAGGAAAGCCAAGCAAGCTATTTGTGCACCCTCGTGGAGGGGGTCGACGCCAACCGCAGCACAAACGCCGAGCTCGTCGTTGTTGTTGTTGACCAACAGCGAGCAAGCGCGGGCACATGCATTCGCTACCGGATACAAAAAAGAGAGGGAACTAGCGGCACTACCACACACACAGCGGCACACACTGGCAGCCAAATCATCAAACCAACGACCACAAGGTGCCCCCCCCCCCCCCCCCTCCAAACCCCGGCAGGAACACAACACATATTTCATGGTCAGATACGAAAGTAAGGGGTGCATGGACAAAAGGCAAGACAATTATCCCTACTTGTCCTCCTAAGAAGCCACCGGCTTTGCTGAAAACACCAACAACCAACGACAAACCTGTTGCAGTGCAATGCGGGGGGCGAAAAAACGCAGGGTTGTGAGTAAAAAAACACTTTTGCTACCATGGCAAACAATAAGACGACGACAACGACAACAACGCACTAGCACCACTAACCGTGCAAATGTGACCGTCCCGTTACTTCTTGAGCTGTACTTTGGTAACGCACCCTCCACCCCGCATCCCCGCGCGCCCTCGTACCACACACACGCCGATCCCCGACCACTTGCTGCCATCCCGTTGCGCGAGTAGCGGTAAAAAAAATACAGAACATTCTCAGGACACTACCCGCAGATTCGTAAAAACCTCAGCGGCACCTACGACCCATCTCGCCATCCGCCTTACAAAACCGAACGGATTCGACTTCCCTCCCCCCCCAATCCAATCAAGCGCCCAC